CAGGAGGAAGACAGGCTCCCTGAAGTCCTGCTCAAGAGTCGGAGCCATTAAAGCAAGCTTCCTGTCAGGACTTTATGTCCGCATCATTGCGAGAGCTTGTCCACCACCCCACGTGCTGTTCCGGCACTCCGTAAACACTTGGCCCTGCCGTGCCTTCTCACACCCAGAAGGAACAGGGCTTGGGGGAAGGGCAGGGGTGGGCAGTGGACATTAGCTGTTTTCTGCCCTGACCTTCAGCGACACACAGGATGTGGGAATCCAGCAGACTAGCTAATAGGATCCAGTACCCGGGTCTGCTCAGTAAGTGTTTATAGTGGACCCTGTTGCACTCAGGGCTCAAAGGCGGTATTTTTTAGCCACTCTTGTTCGCTCTCTGTGGATAAACTTCTCCCATCTCCCTGTTTTCTACATTAGAAAGTAGAGGTGGAGAGCCCGTGATCACTTGGGAATCACATGTCAGGGTCAAAAACTACAAATCACATCTGGTACCAGCTGTGGTCCCCACAAGGGTGACAGACACTGTCTCAGTGAAACCACCCCTGGACAGTTTCTCTAAGTTTTTGTTTTCAGGGCAGGCCCAAAATACTAAAGGCTTGTTCTTACTCCTCGTTCTTGTTTGTTAGTCCTTGATGAACTGCTGCAATTTACCGAGGCTTCGCTGTATAGGAAACCAGAGAAATCCAGGTCTCTATACGAGGAGAAAGAAGCAGTACTTGTGATCATGTACAGCAAAACAGGAAAGAAAATCCACCATATAGGACTAAAAAGATTTGGTTTTATGCTTCCTCCTTACAGTCACATTGCTGCTTATTTGTAAAAATAATTCCACTCATAAAGTTACCCAGCCATTAGTGAGTCAGAGCTGTTCCCACTAATTGGGGGGCCCATGTGGAAAGGAACATAGAGTAATGGGCCAGGTGCCTTTGACTCCTGCTTCTGGTTCTTTCACTGACTTGCTGTGTGGCCTTAGGCTGTGCCCCTTAATCTCTCTGGGCCTCACTTTCCCCAGGAGGAAAATTTCCCACTCGTTCTTCTTGGGAGGATGCTGAAAGATCAAAGAAGTGATGTTTGCAGAGCTTTAAAGACGCCCAGGTGCATTAGAAAGGCCTTGATTTAATAGGCATTAATTAATAAATCCTTTGATTATTGATAAACCAGTATGTTAGCTTTTAATTAGCTCCATGGGCTTCAGTGGTCACAAAGGTCATGCAAAATCATAAAGGAATTAGCTGAGCCATAATGATTGTGTGTGTGTGTGTGTGTGACGTGTCTTCATGTGGATTCACAAAGCACATCGATGGCTTTAACTGGTAGCTGGGTTAGGACAGCTGCAGCAAGCCAGGGAGGCTCTCTGAAATGACACAGATGATCTGGAGCCGCCTCCAACACCGGCACATCAGAGCTCAGTGGACCCTGTTTACAAAGAGGAGGCAAGGTCGAACATCTGTTCGCTGCTTGTACTCTGTCAGCTTCAGAGTGGAGGGTTTAGCAGGCTGGACCTCTGAGCTGTGGGGCACAGGGACCTGGGGACAGAAGAGCCTAGCCCTCCAGGAAGGGACAGTGCATTTACAGCAAGGGGTAAAGGCCCTAGTGGCCAACAGCTGCCTGGCTGCACAGGGAGGTCGGGGGAGGTGGAGAGATGTTTAGCTGCCATCGTACCCTGGCCCCTAGCCCTTCCCATTCCCCCCTGCATGAGGCGGAAAGGATCAGGCTAGTGTTCCCACGTGAGCACCTCCTCTTCTGTTCCTGGAACCCCGTTAATGCCCCAGTGCAATTCTGTCCAAAAACACCTGTCCATTCATTCACCTCGCTCCCACCCTCCCTTCCCAGGGTTTGATTTGCAAACAGACTCGCTGCTTAGAATAGACCTGAAGGAAAGCTCCCGCTCTGCCCCTTGTTGGAAAATGTCTGCAAGCATACAGCATCCCAGAGAGATGCCAGGAGCCAGGCCACCAGGGTCCGTGCCGGGAGCAGGACCACAGCTGAGCCCGGAATTATTTTTACAAATGAGCAACAATGTGACTGTAAGGAGGAAGTATAAAACCAAATCTTTTTAGTCCTATATGGTGGCTTTTCTTTCCTGTTTTGCTGTACGTGATCAAAAATACTGCTTCTTATGTTGGGGCCCATTGGCAGAGTTGGGCAGGGGTGAGGCTCTCCACAGCACCAGCAGCTGGGAGCCCCTCAGGGGAGGCTCGGCTTGCCTTCTGCTTTACAAGGAGAGGGAGAGAGGAGGTGCCAGGGCACCAAGCCCTCTGAGCGTGGGCTCTGGGTTTCTCCGCCCAGTGGGAGGGGGCACCACACGAAAAGCCCAGGTGAGGTGTTCAGAAGCGCAGGTTTGTCTTCTTTCCTCATGACCGGGAGGAGAAAGCCCCTGGAAGTCCCCCCATCAGATTCCGAGAAGGCCCCTTACCCTAAGTGCTGCCCAGCCCAGGACTGAGTCTGGGGCCCCAGCACCAGCCAGGACCAAAGACTGGGACCAGCAATACAACTTGCGGGGCCGCTTGATCAAAACTCAGTGGGCTGGAGACAGCAGAACATCAAACCAAGCACTGGGCTCTTCTGAGCACGTATCATCACACACACATGAAGCGGTCATGACCAAGATGGGTGCGGCACAGGGGCCGAGGGTCCCCCTGAGGGAACAGCCACCTGCCCTCCCCCCCACCCCGTTTTTCAGAGAGGAACAGGAGGGGGGGCAGGGGAGTAATTCTGTACACTTCAGTCCAGGATTTCCGGCATGCGAATAATCAGATTTTATTTTTCTTAAACCCTGATGTCAGCTCTTGAGTTCGGAAATTTAAGGAAAACATGATTTTGGTTATTCTCTGTTATTTGCCAAGACCTGGAAGAAAGGAGAACAGTTAGGAATCACATTAGGATGAAGCTCATGGAGCACTTACTTTGTGCTGACACCGTGTGGGGGATCTGTTGCTCCTACCTTGGAGGGGCATTATTGCCATTGTATAGATGGGGAAACTGAGGCTTGAGGGGTATGGTCACTTGCCTAAGGTCAAACAGCCTGGATGTAGGGGACCCTGTATTCACACAGATGCAGTCAGACTCCCCGGCGTGTGTGCCTGGCCACTGTGTCCTACATATTTACTCCCTCCCATTTAGGAGGTCAGTGTCTGGGGTCTGTTCGTTCTGGTGTTTTTGTGTCTGTGGCTAAGTTCAGGTGTCTATATGTCTATAAATATCTATGTCTATAAATGTCTATAAGTAACAACAGGGGAGAGGGTTAGTCAGAGAGGAACTTAAGGTATTTCATTGAAGGATTGAGCTTAGCAGAGCATCCGACAGGAGCGTGAGACTCAGATCTGTGACTTGAGTAATGGCCTCTACTCAGGGGGCATTTCATCCGTGACCTCACAAAGCTGTCTGAGCCAAGGTAGGGCTGTGGGTCACTTGCTTGCCTTGAAATGTCTCTCTCTCCCCCACTTGGAACCAACGCTCAAGGAAAAAGAAAAGCACAGTTTTCCTTGGGCTTCAGAGCAAAATGGTCTTTGAACGGTGGACCAAAGAGTCGTAGGAGTAGATGTCCTCCTCCCTATTATGCAGACAAAATAATTGTACCATTCGGCAGAGCAGGTCGTGAAAAGAAAAGAATGCAGCCATTCTTGAAAGAGTTTTTCTTCCAGCCCAGTTTGACAAAGGGGTGGAGTCCTTTGGCCAAGCCCTGACTAGCTGGCGTGTCTGGGTCTGGAAGGGCAGGGTTGATGGGGGCACAGGGAAATCGCTGTCACATCTTTTAAGGAGACAAAAACTGGGGAGGTCAGGGAGTGTCAGGAGCCCCAGCTGAGAGAATTCTGGGGCTAGGAGGAGACCCTGAAAAGCATATGCCTCAATGCAGTGCGCAGAGAACGGGAAGACCCCAGAGAGGCATCAGCCACTCCCAGGATGAAGAGGAATGCAGGATTCCCATTTTACCCTACTTTGGGCAAAATCAACTCAAGTTCTAGGTGTCTAGAAGGGGCTGTGGAATGTATCAAATGTAAGCATAAATAATAGAAATACAGGCGTGTGTGCATACAACTTTAACCTCTTTTGACATTTTCCAGAGGGTTCAGTAACTTTCTTCCGATGAAAGGACCCCCCCCTCCCCCCGCCGGGAAGGGCTGCCCTAATCACTCCCAGACCCTGCAGTCAGTTTCTTCGTTACAGACTCCCTCCTGCAAGGAGGGGTGCCCACCAGAGCCTGAGGGCATGCATGGGGCAGCGGCAGGAACTCGTCACCCCCCCTTCGCAGAACTGCCTCATTTCTACCTCCCCCCTCTCTGATGGCAGCCAGCCCCTGGCGGCAGCATCCCGCCAGCCGGACTCTGGATTTGCTTTGTGCTGCAGAAAGAAGCTGGGGCTTGACAAGCTCATATTGTTATCTCGAGTTGCCTGCCCCGAAATAAGGTTCCAGCAGCCCCCGCCCTTCGTGGGGAAGCTTCCCGAGCCGGATCGCCAGGGCGAGTCCGAGCTCTTCCACATTAGTGGGCAGGAAGTGGAGTCCCGATGGGAGGCTGGGAATTTGACCGCCTTCCCATTTCAGCACTGGAGGGAGGAAGCTCAGTTGAGCGCTGCGCAGACGGCTCCTGCTTCCCTCCTAGAGCGGCCCTGCTCCCCGCCCGGCGGCCCGCCCTCCTAGCGCCCCCGCTCGCCCCCGCTCACCCCCTCTCTTTGGAGGGAAAAGTCCGCGGAGCTGGGAACTGTCTCGGTCTCGGATAATGCAACAAAGGCAAAGCGGAGGGGACCAACTTGAAAAGAATTTGTTTTGTTCCCGTTAAGAAACCTGCAGGAAAATCCACACCCACAGTGGAGAGCGGCGTGTGTGTGTGTGTGTGTGTGTGTGTGTGTGTGTGTGTGTGTGTCTCCAGCAAGAGGCGGAGGGTGTGCAAACAACTGTGCAGCCTCTGATAAGGAAGCGGCTAGCTGGAGGAGTTAAGCAGCAAAGAGGACGGGAGCCCTGAGCCAACCACTCCTGAACGTAAACCGCATTGTTTTCTGTCCAGATATTCCAATGGAGACAGTTGGAAAACCTGTATTTCAGAGAGAAGAAGTTTTCCGTGGAAGTTCATGACCCCCGCAGGTAAGCTAGAAAAGTCCTTTCCTTCTGGGAGTGCGTGGCCCAGCTGGCATGTTAGTTATATGACTATTTTTGTGTTGTTCGTTTGGGGGAGCGGGAGGAGGGTAGTTGCCCGTGGGAAGCATACTCCAATCTGACGGTGAAGCTTTGTTTTCTACTAAATATGTTGATAGATGCGGAGGGTTCAAGCGTGCTTTGTGTGTGCGTGCGCGAGAGGAATTGGCAATTCCGTGATTCTCTCCTCTGGCTACATGTGTTCGGTGTTCGTGTGTGGTGTTGTCTTCGCATGCCGGGGCATTCGAGGGCAGATGGATGGCACCTGGTGACAAACCCCACACTAGACTGGGTAGTGGTCCGAGTCCTTTCCGGGAGCTTGTGCCAGAGATGAGTCTGAAGGATGGCTTGCCAGAGCTTCTGAGAATGTTTCAGGGAGGACAGTCGGCTCCGAAAGGAATCTAGACCTAAAGCAGTTGTGTGAAGTTGTTTGATTCCGGGAGCTGTAATTTTCAGGTGTTAGTGTTGTGGGTGGATGTCGAAAGCAAGAGAGTTTTTTCTCTCCATCTCACGTTGTGTCCCGGGGAGCACTAGTGTGAAAACCAGGGCTAAGTCACATGCCCAACAATAGGGTCCCTGTTTGGAATGCAGCAAGCCCTGCGTGGAAGGTTCTGGAAGGTTCTCAGGCAGCACATCCCGGCTGCTTTTCCTCTCTTTGTCTGCCGGCAGGTCCTGGACTTAGAGGCAGCTCAGAAACAGCAGCAAAACTCCCTGAAAACAGGCCTGACACCTAAGGATAAATTGCTTTCAGTAGGTCCAAAGTAGATTTACAAGAAGGTAGTCCTAGGAAGACAGTGAAAAGGTCAGACCCTATAGAGGAGCCAACGGGACAGTTAGGCACCGTTGATGCCCCAGCCCCCCTCACACATGGCCTCTGAGCAGCCAAAACAAGCCTCTCTGCCTCCCAGGGAGCTCTCAGAGACCAGGACGCTGGCCCCCCAGTCGGAGGGCCGAGCTTGGGCAGTGTCCCTGCTCCTGCCACCAGCGATAACCCAGCAGGGGTGACAGGCCACTCTGCCCCGCCGTGTAATCTGCGTGAGACAGCCACTCCGCGGAGGGGAAGAGCTCGGCCCACACCCCACAGCCCCCATACGACCAACAGGTGGAGAACATTGTGGAGACCCAGTGTGCAGTCAGATGAAGGCGGTGACGTTGGCGGAGGAATGACTTGGCCAGCATTTCTCGGGGTCCTGCGGAGGGTGTCGGTCTGGAGACCCTGCCTCTGCAGAGTGGGAACCCATGTGTGCGGGGCCCGGTGAGGGAGAGCCAGATACTGAGAATAATACTCCAGCCGAGCTTTTCCAGGTGAACCGAACCAGACCAGTCTTAGAAGCATGAGGGGAGGGAAATCTGTGTGTGAAGAGAGAAATGCATATTGCCACAGTGATGCAGAAAGGGGCTGCCTGACAGAACGAAAACTGGGGATTGGATCATCTAAGGGGCTGTGCCTCAGGACCAGAAAGAGGTCCAGCTAGCTTCCTGTTCTACGTGGGGGGAAACTGAGGCACCCAAGAAACAAAGTCACCTGCTCTAGGTTATAAAAAGCTGGCAGGTGGTCCAGGAAGGATTTGAACGCAGGGAGCCTGACTCCACAGCTCACAGGTGTCCCCGCTAGGCTCCGTGCAACACACTGGGGCACGAGTGCCGGATGGCGTGGACCATAAATACTGAAAGTGGCCAGAAGCCAGGCTGCTTGGGACAGGTTCCTGAGAAGGAGGGATTCTGAGCTGAACTTCAAAGCATGACTAGGATTTCGAGCTGAAGGTCGGTCCTTGGGGGGGGGGGGGCGGGGAGGGATGAAGACTTCGTCGGGTGGGTGTCAGAAAGAGGGAAGGGAGGTGCTAGAGGCAGGTGGAGCACAGAGTGTGATCACATCTCCCCGGGGAAAACAGCCCTCTACCAGCCTAGAGGCAGGCAGGCAGGTGGAGAGGGGGTGGGGGAGGAAGGCCGGGGCGGGGGGCGTCTGCCCTGATGCTTTAAAGACACCTTTTCCGTGTGTGCACTGAGGCAAGCAAAGGGAATTGCTGCAGGTTAGCTACCTGGCACAGTGCCTTTGCTCTGCCCCGAAACCTCTTCCCTTCCAACGGCCGCAGGGCGCTCCTTCCATTACCCGCCACACCCATAGCTGTCGCCGTGTTATTTGGAGCAGGGAAGACCAGTCTGGTTGACTCTACGTTAGGGTGGTCCCAGCCAGGAAAAGGGGGTCAGAACCGAAGTGATGGGAGGGCAAGTGAGGAAGAGAATCATGTCCTGAAGAGGCCACCGGTGGGCCACGGCGGGGACTGGGCATCAGCCCAGGCAGAGGGTGCGGTGTGTCCTGGGTTGCCTGGTCCCGGGTGGGACCATAGAAGGTAACTTTGGATCTGTGTTTCTGTACATGGACCCCCCAACTTGATAGCCACATGGGTTCTGTGGTTCTCCGGGCTTGGCAAATACTCCGTTTCTAAGGTTTAAGCAAAACAGAAGTCGGTGGGGTGGGAAGAGCCTGAAGGGAAAGATGCCGAGAAGAGATAAATGAATAATGGAGCAGGAGAAAACTCCCAGTGTCTGATGTGGTGTTCCTGCAGAACCTCCTAGACCTGGCCAACCTCCTGAACCCTTCCTCCCTCGCCTTCCTTACAAACACAAGCAGCTGGCCCCTACCCACTCATGCTTTCACTCAGACACACGCCCAGTTACTTCTCCTTTCTAATTCAGCTTTTCTGGGAGAAAAGATTGCTCTTATTCCCAGGAGCAGCCACGGGTATAGAAGCCAACGTGGGAGTTCTGATCGGTTTCTTTTTACTTCTGCAGAGATCAGTGGGGTGCTCCTCCTAACTCTTTTGCTGGCTCCTTCCCCATTATTTTCAACCGTGTTCTCTCCCATGAGCTGACGTTTTCTCCTAACTTAACTAAACGAGGAATTACTCTGCCTAGAATCAGTAGCATTAATGAGCCACCAGATTTGAATTTCTCCCTAAAGGTGGGTCTGAGGAAGACCCTCTGTTCAGTCTTTAGCCCCCAAGGTAAACTGATGGGAACAGCTCTAGATTTTCTTCCAGGGAAAATGTGTCATTAAAAAAAATGGTTATTCATGAGTCCTGATGACCCAGGTTTCTTCTAGATTAGGTATCTTAAACCTGAGAACATACTCTTCTCTCCTGATGCTCATATCAGATACCCTGGGCCCCACCCCAGTACCTTGCCGTGCACGCACGCACACGCACACACACTCAGACACACACACGCGTGTGCATGCAAACACATGTTCTCAGATTTCATTTGCAAAATCATCTGCCTAGCCTATGGAATACACTTCATGGAAAGCATGATCCTGTCACTCTTTTTTTTTTCCCCCAACATCATGGATGTGGTGAATTATGTTGGAACCCACATTTCCCACTTTTCATTGATTTTCATTGATTGCCTCTGTGTACCCCAGAGAGATAATGTGCCCTAGCTGCTCCATAAACGTGTGTCAGTGGGGTAGTGCGGAAGATTGGCTGCACTGCTTTCTGTTGTCCCTTTTTTCATTTCTTATACCCTGCCTGCCGGCGACTAAATTTGAGATTGATAACCAGCTCTTTCAAGGAACACTGAGTTAGAGCAGTGTGAGAAGTCCGGACTGCCTCGGGACATCCCATAGGCTGTGGCCTATGCTGGTGATTAGAACAGAATTTACTTATCCTTCACCAGAGGCAACATTGCCTGCTTAATAAAGGACATTGTCCAAGGCTTTTCCTGTTTCTGAAGTTTGTCTTGGCCCAGCGCCAGGAGCTGAAGCTCAGAAAGGACCATCCAGTGACCTAGAATGACCCATCCTATCCCAGACGAGGCAGAGGCTTGGACATATTCTGAACCCTAAGGAGCCAGTAAATTAAAAAAAAAAAAAAATAGCATTATTCATGATAGCCAAAATATGGAAACAACCCCCAAGTGTTCATGGAGGGATGAAAAGATAAGGAAACGGTGATGTGTGTATGTACAATGGAGTATTATTCAGCCATAAGAAAGAAGGCGGTCCTGCCACTGGCAGCGATGTGGATGAGCATGGAGGACAATTATGCTGAGTGAAATAAGCCAGATGCGGGCCGGGGGGAGAGGGGGAAGAAGTGCATGATCTCATGAATATGTGGATCCTCAAAAGTCAAATATGTAGAAGCAGAAAGTAGAAAGGTAGTTACCTGGGCCAGGGAAGAGAGGAAGTGGGGGGGATGTTGGTCAGAGGTACAAAGTTGCAGTTATATAGGAACAATAAGCCTACGGATCTGAGGTACCTTGTGAGGCCTGTAGTTAATGCCGTACTGGATAGTGGGAATGAGCTAAGAGAGTAGATCTCAGGGGCTCTCATGACAGATATGTGAAAACATGATCTCTGCTCATTAGCTTGACTAATAATCATTTCACTATATATATATATATATATCAAATTCTGTTGCACACCTGAAATTTGTAGAATTTTTTCAATTTAAATTCACATTAACATTGAGTTTAGCACTGGTTTCAGGAGCAGAATCCAGTGATTCATCACCCACGTGCAACACCCAGGACTCATCCAAAGTGCCCTCCTTAAAGGCCCATCACCCATTTAGCCCACCCCCACCCACCTCCCCTCCAGCAACCCTCAGCTTGTTCTCTATTTTAAGAGTCTCTTATGGTTTGCCTCCCTCTCTGATTTCATCTTATTTTTCCTTCCCTTCCCCTATGTTCATCTATTTTGTTTCTTAAATTCCACATGTGAGTGAAATCATATATTTGTCTTTCCCTGACTTACTTCACTTAGCATAATAGACTCTCGTTCCATCCACATTGTTGCAAATGGCAAGATTTCACTTTTTTTGATCACCAGGTAATACTCCATTGTCTAAGGAGACAAGGGAAACAAAAGCAAAAATGAACTATTGGGACCTCATCAAAATAAAAAACTTCTGCACAGTGAAGGAAATAACGAAAGTAAAAGGCAACTGAGGGAATGGGAGAAGATAATTGCAAATGACATGTCAGATAAAGGGTTAGTTTCTGAAATATACAAAGAAATATAAACAAATAATCCAATTAAGAAATGGGCAGAAGACATGAATAGATACTTTTCCAAAGCAGACATCCAGATGGCCAACAGACACATGAAAAATGTTCAACATCACTCATCATCAGGGAAATACAAATCAAAACCACAATGAGATACCTACCTCATACCTGTCAGAATGGCTAAAATTAACAACTCAGGAACCAGAGGTGTTGGCAAGTTTGTGGCGAAAGGGGAACCCTCGTGCACTGTTGGTGGGAAGGCAAGCTGGTGCAGCCGCTCTGGAAAACAGTGTGGAGGTTCCTCAAACAGTTGAAAATAGAGCTACGCTATGACCCAGCAATTACACTACTAGGTATTTATCCAAAGGACACAAAAATGCTGATTTGAAGGGCCCATGCACCCCAATGTTTACAGCAGCAGTGTCCACAACAGCCAAATTGTGGAAAAAGCCCAAAAGTCTATTGACTGATGAATGGTTAAAGAAAATATATACGATTTTTATTAAACAGTTAAAAAGATGGCCTTCGCTAGCTAGTTTCCCTAAGTGTGTGTGTGTGTGTGTGTGTGTGTGTGTGTGTGTGTGTGTGTGTGTACACTCATCTGTCCCATTTATGCAACGGCTTTTAGACCCCAGGGGCATCTCAGTAAAAGCGGTCAGTCACTGGAGTCCCGCATCATCAACATGGTTGAACCTTGTGATTCCTGCCATCCTAGGGCTTCAGTGACAAGGAGGACATTTGGACACAGCGGCATTGCAGTGCATACGTGGTATGCGTGTCCGGCTTTGATCAAGTCCATTTGGGCTATGGCCATTAGCCAACACCAGTTCTATCTGGACAGAAAGCAGAGTAAGGTAAGTCCTTCTCCGGGGCTGGGACTCCACAATGACCAGCCCTTTGGCCACACCACAGCCTTACCTGAGGGCACGTGAGGGCCCGTGTCTCCTAGCTGAGGGATTGGGAATCGGGTGGGTGGGGGCAGCCCCGTGTCCCTTACCCCGAGATGTGCGCGGGTACGGACTTTTCAGAATTATGGGAGGGAGGAAGGAGATGGGCTCTTCCAAAGGGCACGTTCCACACGACTTGGTTAAGGGGCTCAGGCCCGACCACGGTTGCGGCTCTCAAACCATTTACTGTAGCCAGGTAGGGCCCTTTTGAGGAATTCAGAGCATGCTTCTGAACCTCAGGAACCTCTCCCTGGAACAAGCCGTCAAGCCCTGTATGGTGTTTAAACAGTGGCATATTGTTTGCTTTTTGAGAGAGGGAAAAAAAAAAAAAAAAACAACCGTTTGCAATTAATAGACACCATCTAACTGTTTAGGATAATTGCTGTGAAAGCGCTTCAGGCTTTTCCAACTGCCACCTCCATTTTTTTTTGAAAAGTCAGAACTGGAAACATTAAAAAAAAGCAACAGCACCCAACCCTGTTTCCCTAAGGTAGGCCTGGAGCCTCAGGCCTTGGTAAACAGTCATCCTCCAAGGGAGATTTGACCCAGCCCCAATGCAGACACGCAGGTGCATTTTCTGGCGGGTGGGAGAATGACGTCTGCTTGGTTCACACACAGCTTATATCAACACTCGGCCCCCTCTCCCTCCAGCCCCTGTCTTCTGTGCTGCCTTGCAACCCCCCCCCCCCCCCCCGGCCCCCGCCGCCGCCTTGCCACAAGCCATTCTCATTCATTAGGTCTCTGCTGAAGAGCCCCATCAGGATGGGTCTTGCACCTTTCCCAGGATCCTGCTGGCTTGGGGAGGAGGGGCTGCAGAGCTATGGAGGGAGCCGGGCGTTGGCCCCTGGGAGGTTTCGTCCCATCATGTGGGTTCTCGGGAGGCGAGGAGGAGGCCGGACCCAAGATTCATCAGATCAGTGCCCTCTTGGATCCTTACAGCTGCTGCTTCTGTCTTATTTTCCGTCTGGATGGGGTTGCTCTTTCCCTGGCTTGGGAAGGGGAGTGGAAGGAGTGACCTGGGGTCTAGTGGGAGGAAGGAGAAAGATTGTACGAAAATAGGAGAAAAGGAAACAATCTCTCAACTCATAATTCAGTTGCAAATCTGAGCCCTTCCTGGGTAGCTGTCGCTTTCTTCTCTGTAACACGTTTTTCTCCTCTGCTAAGTCTTCTTCGTGACCCTTTTTTGGTCATTTTCTGGGGTGAATGGGCACAGAGTGGAGGGTTCTTTTTTGTTGTTGTTAGGCATAATGGGAGCATTCCACAGCTTTCCTGGTGATGATGGACATTGGCACAGGGATTTGAAGCCCGATTAGATCAAAAGAAACAGGGCCAAAGCGTTTTGAGTCATGCTTTAGATTGAGACAGTAGGTGGGTGTCAGCATTTTGCCCTCGGGTCTCGGGAGTTGGAGGTCCAAACCTTAAAATATCGATTCCATGCTCTGCATTGTTTGGGAATGGGTGGTAAGGGGTAGAGACCTTGGCAGCCCTCCTGGACCCCACTGCCAGTTCCTCTTGTGGGCAGACCCCACACACATTGACAGCACAGTTTTGAAAGGAAAAGAGACAAAGTGTATCTCACCCTTAGGTTAGTACATTAGCGGTTTGTGATCTTCCCCTCCCATCCCCAGCCCCCATGCTCGTTCTTTGCATTGAGGGTCTCTTGGGCAATGCAAGAGGCCGTTTAGCAGGGCCTTCTTCCCCGTTCTCGAAGGTGGTCTTACTCTGCAGTTGGAGAAGCCTTAATGGCCAGGTTTACAGGTCAGCCCTCTGATGCAACAAGTCAACTTCAAAAAGTAATTATCAAAGATCATTTATTAACAGGAAGTGTCTTTTAAAAGGCCAAAGCAGGTGCCCACAGCAATAGGGAAATTTCAGCCATCCTTCTCGGTGACCCCTGGGGGATGGAAGGAAATACACATCCACCCAGGAGCAGGAGAACTTTCCCCCAGTAAGCTCTGAATGCTCACGGATGCTCCAGAGCCCTTCCGTTTCTCGTAGGGACCCATTCCTCAACCCACAGTGGCAGGTGAGCAACAAACTCTCCCACGTAGAAGTCCAGGGACTCCATTTCCAGTTCCATGACCCTGGGCAAGTCTTCCGTTGCTCCTGCTTTGCTTCTCCAATTAGAGAACAAGAAAGAAAATACGGAAATTATTGATTGGCCCGATGACACAGTGTGTGTGAAATTGCTTTAGGAGATATGTGCTATCTTTTATCATCATCATTAATCCAACATACTGTTCCCCGGCCAACACTTGTGTAAAGGTTAAGTTCTCTCAAAGTTTCCCAGATGAAGTCAGAGATGATAAAATCCCCCTTAGGAATTACGTTACGACACCTTTCGCTTCTGGAATGTCGTTCTCTGTACAAGGGTGATGTGATCCGTCTCTGAGGGGCAGAATGACCTCTGGTGAGTGACGGCTGAGAGGCCTGGGACGGGCTGCAAAATATTTCTGAGTCGCTGGTGTTGGCTAGCATAGGGGCCGTTGCCCCACACCCTGCTGCACCGGGCCATGCCATCCATTGCTTTCTCTGAAGTGCTTCGGCAAAGCCCAGGCCTCCCAAGTGATGCTTATCAGCCCCAGAGACAAGTGCGGTCTAGTGGTCTGAGTCAGCAGGAGTGGGTGGGCCGAGCAGTCTCCGGCTCTTCCCTGGCACTCAGGCATTTTCCTCTTTCAGGATCCTTGTGCCAATCCTGTAAGAACAGCATCTCTCTCTCTCTCTCTCACACACCAACACCTTCCATCACCAAAGACAACAGAAGGAGCCCCTACTGGTTGGTTTCCTGCGGCTCATGCAGAATGAGAGGCTGTATAGGCACTAATTACAACTGGTAACTTAATGTTTGCTGACCCCAAGGATCCCAGCAACCTCTGGAGCCCAGAACCCAGAGCTAAGGAATGTCTTGTGGACTTGGGAGGAAAATAGCTGAAAGCTCAAATTGTTGAGAGTAAACATTAGACACCTCTCCTCTGAACTCAGAGTGGGGACTTCTCAAGTTGGCCTCCAGTCCAGACATTTCCTCCTTCTTGGTTTTTTTTTTTTTTTCTTTTTCTTTTTTCCAATCTATCTTCTGTTCTTCATTCCATCTAGTTCAGAAGCAGAGTGACGGCATGGTAGGGGACAACGCAACCTTGCTTGTGAGATAACAGTAATAAAACTCAGTAGGGCAAGACCCTCAAAGCGCAATGTTCAGAATGTTGGAGGCTCTTTTGGGTTGTCCCAAAGACTCGACTTTTTGAAAAAGAATCTCCCTGTCTGTACTCATTCCTCTTAGCATCTCTCTCTGCACTGGGTCTTTTTGGTCATTGTCCTATTTCCATTTGGAGAGAAGCTAGTTATTTCCTAAAACTTCAAAGAATCTCGTCTCCCTTGGGAAGGATAGCTGTTGGTCCCTTTTCCCATGTTTTGGGTTTTGCCTCTCAGACCGACGTGTGGCAGGAGTGGAGGTGGTGTAGGGACAGGTCTTCCGTGTGATTGAGACTCCCCCAAGTACCAGGTTGAGTCATCAGTCTCACCTCCTTTAGCAGATTACTTCCAGGACCTGATTTGGATCCTGTTCCTATTTCAATTCCAGTGACCTCGACATTGTATTATCTAATTTAGTCCTTATCACAACTCTGCCATGTGGGTTTTAAGAGCTCCATTTTACAAGCAGGGATCTGAGTATCAGACAGGTTGAAGGTCATGGCCAAACAGTGGTGAACTGGCCAGAGCCAAGATTCCAGTCCAGATCTTTCTGACTTCAAAGCCTGGGCGCCTCCCCACCACGCTGAGTTGTTCTGTGTCTCCATGAGTCATTAAGTAGCTGCAAGCGACAGCTCTTTTTATTCGAGCGTGGGTGTTGGTAAAGAAGAGTGCTGCAGAAAGTAATGGGTGTGCTCCCTCTGCTTGCTCAGAGGGTAAAGCTCAACCAGATGGGCCCTGTGGACATGCGCTGTCCATGCGAAACAAAAGGCACTTCTTGCTTCTGCCCCCCCACCCCCACCCCCAGCCAGAGTGCTGCGGGGGGCCCTGGTGGCCGGGGTTATGTCCTGAGCAAGGAGGCCCTGACCTGAGGAAGGTGACCTGGATCTGAGTGCAGGGACATTCAGAGTTGAGGTCAGAAAGGAGACATCAGTCAAGGAAGGACCAATGAGGTGATTGTTCATACCCAGAGAACAAAACAAGCAAAACACTCCATGTATCCTCGATCCTAGACTCTCTTATAACAAGAGGGAAGTGCTCAGCTGTTGGAAGACATGGTCCTTCATCAGTGTATGCATCAGTGTGGAGGCCAGAGGAAGGGCAAGGCCATGGGGGCTCAGAGAGCCTCTGCTGGGCAGCACAGGGCACCTGGGCAGAGACTGTCAGGAAGAGAATGGGCAGCGTCTACCCACCCACTGTGGCCCCCGTATCGGCCCTCTGCCGGCTTCTCCTGTGTGGGGGGACAGACTTGGTCTCACACACAAGGGTGTGGGGGCGGACACACATGAAAGGACTGAAAATCTCGGTTTAGGACATCACCTAGTTCCATCGTTGTATGGGCTATAGCCAATGGCCACGGAAGGAAACCTCAGCAAATGTATGGGTTCTACTAGCATTTATAGTGATTTTCATTAAGTTCATGCTGTGGGTAAAGCCTGTTGCCTTAAGCACGATCACAAAAATTGATTTCCTGAAGAAGGGGGGAAAAAAGAGCAAACATCAAACACGTGTAGGCAATGCAAACCCATTTTCATCTGCTGAGGGCAGTAACTAAAAAAGGTAGCTTTGTGAAAAACAAACACTTTTAGGAATATGATTGTGATAACAGAGTACTTCTCTAATTAATCCAGCCCGGTGTTACTGTTAGCCAAGGCAGGCCAATTAATATGCAGGATAAATGCAATGGAGCGTTAACTATAATCTGAAGACTTTGGAGCACACAGGTATCAAAATAGAAGCAGAGCACAGTGTTGGGTGCTTATTGGTGGGGCCTGAGTGTCCAAATGAGCAGGTGTTCCAGTGGTTTCTACACATGTAGACATGCTCCTTATATGTCTAGAGCACCATCACATGCCAAGCCTCTAAACGTTCTGTGGCCACGTGGTTAACACTGGAAGGCATTTAAATTCCCTCAGAATCTATTGGGACTTCATAAATCTGTTTCATATACTTCTTCTGTCATTCACAAAGCTGAAAATTATTTTCCCCCTTCTTTAAACACAAAATATAATCACTGCTGTTTATTGAGAGCTGTGTACGAGGGAGCGGCATAGGGGAGCCCTTCACATGCCTTACTTCCTTTGACCCTAACAGAACCTTCAGTGGTAGATGGTGTTTTTCCCCATTTTATAGTTGGGAATAATGAGGCTCTGTGAGATCAAGGGACTTTCCCCAAACCAGGATGCTGACTAGGTCCATCTGATGCCAAAGTCCCTGCTCTAGGCACAGCACGGTAGAGCCCGTAGAATAGTTCGGAAAACGCATCACTCGTGTCTGCTCTAGAGCCGTACCTCCTGCAGGGAGCTTCAGTGATTAGGGATGGAGCCAGGGAACACAAACCTAACGATGCTGCAAGCCAAGACAGTAGTCCATTTGCTTAAATCTCAGGACCCAGAGCCCGTGGGTGATAAGCATTCTCTCTCCGAACACCTCTTTATAACCCGGCTGTCTTTTCCATTCTAGTCTAAAATCCATGCCGCACGAAGCCTGAGTGAGATCGCCATTGACCTGACCGAGACGGGCACGCTGAAGACCTCCAAGTTGGCCAACATGGGGAGCAAGGGGAAGATCATCAGTGGCAGCAGCGGGAGCCTCCTGTCGTCAGGTAAGTGGACTTTTGCTGGAGAGCCGCCGTGCGGGGAGCGGGGAAGAGGCTGTGGCTGAGGGTGGCTTCCATCCCACAGTGGCTCCGGGGAAGGTCCGAGAGTGGCAGCCGCTGAGGACGCAGCTTGGCAGGCTCACAAGGAGCTGGCTCTGGTTGTGAGACCAAGGTTTTGAGCCAAATAGGAATCTGAGAAAACTGCCAGAAGTGCCAAAGGGGGGCGGGGAATAAGAAGCAGCAGAACCATGCCGTGTGGGAAGGACTGTTGGCCCCATATACCTCTCCTCAGGCACCCTCCAGAGCCTTCTGAATGCTGAAGGCCGGCTGTCAGGAATGTCAAGTCCAAGGACGAGGTGGAGTTGGTTCACTTGTGTGTCCTTCAACAAGAATTAAACTAAGGGGCTGAAGGCAGGCTCATGGTGTTGAGCAACACTGCATCCTATTCGCAGGGGAACTCTTCAGGACTTTAGAAGGTACAGAAACTCTTGGCCTTCGGCAAGGAGAGTCTTGGTCACGGAATGCGGTGTAGCAGTTAAGCGCCCTTTGCAACTGAGTCCAAGACTCTGATTCCAAGCTTGTTTCTGTTTCTAAGAGCCATGGGCAAGTCATTTTGTCACTGGATGCGGGAGGGGCGGACAAGCTCTGAGGATTCAGAGGAGGCTGATGTCCAGAATAGGGAGGCCATTTGCTGCAGTGACAGGAAGAGGGGGAGGTTTGAGGAGCGCAGGAAGAGGGAGGGAGGCGATCATTGTTTGGACATGTTAGAAAGTATAACTAATGCAGGTCACTCCCCAGGCCACACCATCAAAAGCTGATTGTTCCTGGGGACGGTGTACCCTTGCCTCCGAGCCATGAAAGGGAAGCAAAAAGTCTCCGTTTGCCCTCCCTCATCTTCCAGAGTGCTTGCTCTTTCTTCTT